GTAGTAGTAGTAGTAGTAGTAGTAGCAGTAGCAGTAGTAGTAGCAGCAGCAGTAGTAGCAGTAGTAATGGTAGTGGTAGTGGTAGTAGTAGTAGTAGTAGCAGTAGTAGTAGCAGCAGCAGTAGTACTAGTAGTAGTACTAGTAGTAGAAGTAGTAGCAGTAGTAGTAGTAGTAGTAGTAGTAGTAGTAGTAGTGGTAGTAGTAGCAGTCGTCGTCGTCATCGTCGTCGTCGTAGTACGTCGTAGTAGTGGTAGTAGTAGTAGTAGTAGTAGTAGTAGTGGAAGTAGTAGTAGTAGTAGTTGTTGTTGTTGTTGTAGCAGTAGCAGCGGCAGCAGCAGGAGCAGCAGCAGCAGGAGCAGTAGTAGGAGTAGGAGGACGGGGAACATCCTGTCGCATAAAGAACAGAACCAACATGTAAGATGCATCATGACACTAGCGACAACAACGCGAATGACACTGGAACTGAAGGCGGAGATCATCAGTGCATTTGATGGTGCCAAGGAAGTCCTGAACCTTGAGCCCCTCTGTGAAAAACCTCTTAGCCTGCTCACCCCAAACCCCTGAACCGCGCACCTCTACACCGAATAAATCCAAAGCCCGCCATCAAATTCATATGGAACCCTCGCGGAATACCTCATAAATGAATCATAGGACCTTCACCAAAGAGCTGATACAATACAGCCTATACCCTAAACCCCACAATCCCCAGACCCTAAACCTAAACGCAAAACCGTGAAGAGCCCCGTGCATTTCAGCCCGGGCTCTCGCCAAAAGTCCAGGGCTCTGGTCTTCCGGTGTTGAGAATCTCCCGGGGGGTCTTTTTTGAAAATTGGGAGCTGGGCTTGAGGAGGTTCGGGACTAGGAGTGTGGGGAGGCTAGGGGTTTAGGGGTTTAGGGTTTAGGGGCTTAGGGGTTTAGGGGTTTGGGGTTTGGGGTGCTCTTTCCGTTCATTTGAGGAGGCAGGTTGGGGGAGCGAAGAGTTTCGGGTTTGAAGAACTAGGAGTTGCAGATTTAGGGTTGAGCGTTGCAGAGTGAGAGGGTGTAGGATTCTGGTGAAAAAGGGAATGCTAGGACCAAGCCCTGTCTTCAGGCTATACGGGGCTCTTTGTCGCAAGTCCGGCCGAACACCCTCTATGCCCCAAACCCGTATAATTGAACAAGAAGAGTAGTAGGGAGACTGGGCTGGGAACTTCGAAGACTTCCCTGAAAGAAGAAACCCATCATGAACCCACAAGCCCCAAACACAAACTCCATTACCTAAGAACCCCCGCAAGATTTCACCTTAGAACCCTACACTCTACACTCAGCAAGTTCCCACGGAATGCCTCTGAACCCTAAACCCTAAACCCTAAACCCTAAACCCTAAACCCTAAACCCTAAACCCCTAAACCCATGTCGGCTCAGCCTGGTAAGGACTTCTAGCTGTTCTGCAGTTGGAAAAGGGCCCGTAAAAAC